CGCGTGCCGGAAGCGTTAAGCTGAATTGCGAGGAGTGTCGCAAGTGCGGGATGTGGTTGGATGGGCGTGGGATGTTGGCCGACTGTATAGTTATGGCCAGAGATTATGCAGTGTTTCTTGTTCTGCGTCTTCCTTGGGTGGTTGATTGTTGCAGTGGGAGAGTGACCGAGGCGTACGAGTGGCAGGCAGGAGTGAGAGGGAGGGGGGGAGTTAGGTTGACGGTGACAGGATGAGACCCGACTTGATATTGCGAATGTGATGGACACGGGATGCGCGGGTACAAGTAGAGACAGGGCCGGCTCGGGCGTTTGGGTTTGGGTTTGGGTTTGGCGTTGGCGTTGGTGTAGGAGGTACACGAGAAAAGGTGCACTTTGAGAGAAAGGGTTGGCGGGCGTGCGAGTGATGATGTGATGGGCTGCTTCGGGACGGTGGTGTGTGTGTGTGTCCCCCCGGCTAAGCTGGTCTTGATGGTTGGCTGACGTTTGGCACTTTTGGAGAAACGACTTGGAGAAAGGGCGAGAGGTATGCGTCGCAGGGGTGGATGAATGAGAGGGCAAGAGTATCAGGATCGAGATTCAAAGGTGCGGAGGGAATAAGGAAAAAAGGGTTCGGGGTTTCGGAGGGGCATGAAGAGAGGATAAATCATCTCGTGCGCGCATCCCCAAGTCGTTCCGAGTCAAGTCGGCTCATCTCCACGATGCACACAGTACATGCTACGGCAGATAGGCAAGGATGCGGTAATAGGCCCGCATGAAGATGAGCATGGCGGCATGGCAGGGCGGCATGATGGCGTGAACACACCAAAGAAGCCAGAGACCCGCGGCTGTATCGTCGGCGGCATCGTTTTTTTTTTTCGTGGACCGATCCATCTGACAGTGGCCGGAAGACCAATGACACGATGCGACAAGAGGTCCTTGGGGGGTCCCAATGACGATGGATGACCTGGGGTCGAGGGGAAATGCTTGCGGCAAAGGCCGCCAGATGGGGGACCTGTTGTACCGGTACCTCCGATGCACCCCACTCTCGCCATGGGCTCGGCATTCTTCTCGTGCCAAGGGTCAAAAGCATGGGCGGATGGACGGCTCGAGCGACCGCTTCAGAGCGTTGGAGGCGGGACAGCGGTCGTAACATGTGGGGTCGAGGGCGGTGGAAGGTCGTCCGACAAAGTATCGAGACTTGGGGTTCTTTGGACTCTCATTTTGCCTGCGCGGATAATTCTCCGCAATTGGCTCCCCACTCGGCATCGCTGCTTTACTTCGGCCTTCTTCCCGGCCATTTGACCGAGGCGTGCGCAAGGGCATGCCGAACGCTGCGAGGGCACGTTTTCCGAGGCAACGCCGCACAAACGTCCTTGGCGACTGTTAAAGCAGCCCCGGATTGCTATCATGCCCCCGACTCAGGAGCCCCCCCCGCCAAGCTCATGCTTCGCGTGGAATTGACACGGAACATGTCGGAAGGCAGGACGTTCAACGCTGGGGCAGCTTCGGCCAGAGTATTCCCGTCGAATGATGCGGCCGTTGTTAAGGTTCGGTGTTAGATTTGTCCTATGCCTGTCTGATCTTCCTTCCCCTCTTCCACATCCGCCGCCTACCTTATCTGTCCAACTGCTCTGCTTCTGTAAGGGATATTGCCCGCCTGGGGCCCCGTTCTCGTCCGGGCTGTCAGGGCGAGCACGTGCCTCGTAGGATGACCGTCGGCCCTGGCGCCGACCGACCTCCCATTCTTCTTCGTGGCCACATGGAAGGTATTTCGAAGGTCGTGCGTCCAGCCTCTTTGTTCTCACTACGAACATGGATGCAGAGAGTTGGATGGGTCGATGGATGCCGAGGTGTCCCCCCCCCCCCTCGTGCTCGTCCTCCTCCTTCCCAAAATCGGCAACTGCATCCGCATGACGATGAGACCCTGAGCTGCAGGCGCAGGCGCGGGCACACGGATCGAGAAGGAATCGAACCTGTGCCTGGTGGGACGGGCTCTCGTCGTCGTTGTCGTCGTCGAGCCCAGGTAGCGCCGGAATGTGCTGCTCCTCGGTTTCGGAGTCAAGTCATCTCAGGCTAGACAGCTTTGCGGTGGTTTGGACCATCGGCCCTGATATTCATAGCGTTAGATTGCATGGCGACATTGTCGTGAGGGGCAAGAGGCAGAAGACGACGAAACGGGCAGCAGGGTAAATGGACAGGCAGGGTCGGCCAGGCGAACAGGGCAGGGGGAGGAGAAGGGGAAGGAGGGGGAGCGGGCTGCAGAGGCATGCAGGCGAGCAAGCGCCTTGAGATGGTGATGGCACAATCGTGACACAATCATCGTACAATCGTCGTTGCCATTTCCCCGAGGGCGGATAAGGTCGTGGGGCAGGAGCCACTGATCGGTGGGCATTCCCGCTCACCGTTCACCGCCCCATGCCCAGAAGCAGGAAGGGACGAGGGGACGAGGGGACGACGGCTGCACAGCGCAAGCAAGTACATGGTAGCGGAGCAGGAACCAACCAACATGAGAACAGAACGCGAGATCGTTGTCAGGAACGGCGGCCAGCAAGCCCCCACGTGGGCCCCGGGAAGCAGATCCCGTCTCCGCCTCCGCCTTGGTCCAGCAGGCTGTCCAGGAAGCTGTCGAGGAAGATGTCAACTGTCCAGGAAGCTGCTCAGCACGCTGCTCAAAAGGGCAGGCGCTGCCTTATGTCAGCAACGGAATGCCGGCCTCTGTGCCACCGATGCTGATGCTGCCAGGGGCCAGGGTCGTTCTGTGCCTGAGCCTGAGCATGAGCATGAGCCTGCACAGACAGCCGAAGGGTGCAGCTCCGACTTGACAACATCGCAAAGTCTCGTCCACCAATCCCATCTGCATTCGCCCTCGCCCTCAAGGGCCTCGACTCGCCGCCTCCAGCTCGAACCTGGACCTCTAAACGCACACTCTCATGCCATCTGGCCCCTCTGCCGCTCCTCCGCCTCCGGCTGCAACAACATCGCAAGCCCCCCTCATCTGCCCTTGCCTAACTAGGGCCACTGGGCAAATCGCTGCACGCTCTTCCTCCTTGCTCCCAATCCGCTCAAACGAGTCGGTCAAGGGTCAGGGTCAGGGTCGA